ATTTTGACCCACTTCAAAACTTTCGAATGAAACTTCGCACACTTATCAAGGACCGATGACAATACAATAATTTGATAAATTCGGCCGATTATCCTGACCAGGATCGTCAAGATGGACGGTTTTTCTCGTACTTAAAAATACGGAAGTTCCTTTTGCTACGTACGAGTGCTGAAACATATGTGACTTACTTACCTGTTCCTTTTTTAGTGTTAATGAGAAAATAATTATTATTAATGACTAAAAAAGCAAATGTGACAAAAAAACAAAAAAAATACGCTTTTGTAACTAACCGAATTAAAAATTAAAAAATAATCTATACTAAGATTATAAAGCTGAAGAGTTTGTTTGTTTGTTTGTTTAAAAGCGCTAATCTCAGGAACTACTGGTCCGATTTGAAAAATTCTTTCAGTGTTAGATAGCCCATTTATCGAGGAAGGCTATAGGCTATATATCATCACGCTAAGACAAATAGGAGCGGAGCACCAATGAAGAATGTTTCGAAAACGGAGAAAATTTATTACTATTGAGAGACGCAGATGAAGTTGCGCGGGTCAGCTAGTTTTCTATAAGTTCAAAAATCAAAATCAAATCATGTTATCGTATAAACAATAGAACAATCAAATGACTATAATATAATACACAAGTCAGCTAATCGCTGTAACACTACGCACGAAAAAAAATGTATACTGTATGTCATTTCATCTCAAGTAAAAATTTACCTGATGATATCTTATTTACGACTATGGATAAATATATATATCAACAGGGTGTATGACTGTGGCAAGACCATGGGCCGATACTTATCGCGTTCAAACAGAGAGGCAGACGCTGCAGGGGAATTTGTTCTATGAAATGTAGTGGTAGTGATTAGATAGTGGTAATGTACCATCTTTTACTAGTCAAGACATTTGATACCTATGTTGAGGGAGTTGAACAAAAAAATGTAATCCGCCACTTTGTGGTGGCGGCCATCTTGGGCTTACAATGAAATATATTATCAAGCCCAAAATCGGCGTGTAATGGGAGAGGCCTATGTCCAGCAGTGGATTGCGATAGGCTGATAATGATATATTATTGCATTGTCTGGATTTTTAATTTTGGATAAATCGGTCAAGAGGAAGGGGGTACAAAAAATATTACTTAATACGACCCAAACACGTCAAGGTAAAAAATAAAACCGTTTAACAAAACAGCTGATATGTACTAGGCTGTATGATACAAGTCTCTGTTGCATTCCACTAATCATCGCTTGGGAGGAACTTGGTCATGTAAATCTGTTAGGGGCTCATGGACTATGATATTAACACCTTAATTGACAGACCTACTTACTTATATTTTGGTTTTTTTACATTTAGAACTTAATAAGTAAAAAAAAACTGATGAGACTGATATCTGCTTAAACATGGATAAACGTACTGCAAGTACGTCGGGGGTTTCTTAAAATACGAAAACTAAAAAAACGTTGATTGAAAAAAAAATTGTTTCTGATATTGGAGAATATATTTGAAAACAAAAAACACCTTAGAACTAAGTGAAATGCACAGAAGTTGCTTTTAATTTAAAACTATGACTAGAATAAAATCAGTACAATAAAATAAAAACACATAATACACACTAGGAAAAAAAACTTACAAGAATAAAATCCAAAACGAATAATTAAATACTAATAATAAAGTTTTAAACAGTCATCAGTCTTGTTGTAACTAAGATTACTTAATGTTAGAAACTTTCTCAATTATGAAACTTTAGACGGTTCATAGCAGAGCTTCTGTTGGCAAACTGTTATTGATCGTACCTGAAACACACAAATTGTAACTATTTATATTCCTACAAATTGTTTAAACATTTGTATTTTTAATTTATATTGTACATTAGTTGTTATAGCACAGTTTTGCCTATTATAAGTTCTTTCGATGGTTCTCTTCCTTTTTTGCAAGAGTGAGACGTTCTGCTCTGATCGACGGTACGGTAACGAGCCTAATATTTGTTATGAACTAAGAACTACTTTATTCGACTTACCCGAATAGCTTTTATCCTCGATTTTAAGTTGGCTCCGACTAGATCAAACTCAACATGTAATTTTTTTACTCTGGAGCTTTAAACAAACGTCAAGATATTAATATAATTTAAATGCTGATATTTAAGTTATATTAATATTTTGACGTTTGTTGGCGTAGAGTGAGTGTTGAAACACGTTACACAAAATATCTGAATATAACTGTTTATATTCAGATATTTTACATACAGCGTTGCCTGTAACGGCTATTAATCGGAGGTTTCGCAGTGGTCTCCTACTGCTTCTGCTTCGTGTTGAAACGGAGTCACCTCCTTAGTTAGTTTTTGTACTGTAATTAACAAGTAACAATTAATTAATTATTTCTACCAAATCCATGTATCTGTTATTGGAGAAAATGATATAAAACACAATCAATATTTACTTTGCCACTCTAACTTCGCGTTCTGCCTCTTGATTATTCTGTCCTCTTCTGATTTTTCTGTCCTCTCCTTTATAAAACTCAAAGTTTTCTCCAACAGCTCTGCCTGTGCGATGTAGATTTAAAAAGGAAAGATGGTGAACTGCCAATTTTTCCTACAGTTGAAGCATTATTGAGTTTAAAGAAAATAAAGCTACTTACGTCAGAGTCAACGGAGAGGACAGCAGCTAACTCGCTGTAGGCATTCGCAACGTCATTACGTCGCTCCTGCTCGTAGAGAGCGTTGCGGGCTCGACGTTCCTCCTGCAAACAGGAAACTCAATTAGATAAAAGTTATAAACACATTCTGCACGTGGAATCAATGTTACTATACACAATATTTACTAACAATTGTAAGCGGCACCCGGTTCTTGCCCACAGGGCGACCACGGCGTCTATCACTAGGTCCTGAAGCCGTTCTGGTGGGCTGCTCCGATTTCTGAAATAACGACAGAGCATAAGTAAAAAAAAACGCATTATTGATTGTCTTCACCTGTTTTTAGGAGTAGTCTTAGATCTGTCAAACTATTTTCGTTTTATAGACAAAACAAAAAGACATTAAAAATAGTCACTGAAAACTTTAAACCGCTACAGAACGTTATCTTAAATTGCTAAATTCATGTGTTTAAATTAAATTATCTGAATAGATATTTTACAAAGTATAACTTAGCTAATCAAATACTTCAATAGGTCAGTAAATGATTGTCGTCGATAAACGCTCATAAATAAATCATAACCGATCAAAAATCAAGTAAAAAGTTCAGTACCTTATTTGATTTTGTCTTTACCATTTTGCTTGGTCGATGTTTTATGGGTATCACTAACTTGTGTTACTTCACTGGTTGGAAAGTCAACTAATAGTGATATAAATCAATCAATCAATGGTTTTCATCTCACCCCTCCTTGTTGTGGGGTGGGGAAACTATTTGGAGCTCTGGGCTCCTTATAGTGGTGTTCTTCGCGACTCACCACTGTGAGTCGGTCGTTGGGGTTGAGTCCACCGGTCACGAGGCCGGTCTTCCGGGGTTCCCTACGAAGAGGGGCCCGGTTAGCCGCCTGCGAGTGGCCGGTAGTTCGTGTTCTGAATTTGGTGCCCCGCTCAGGGAGGTTAAGATAAGCTCCCGAGCAGGGCTTTTCAGTCGCCTACGGATGGCGAGTGTTGTCTCCGGATGGAGGAGGGGGAGCAATGCCTGCCAAGTGGGGGAATTTTGAGCGGTCGGCCCGCTCAAACATCCCAGTGGCAAGCCTGCTCACGAATGTCCCAATGGGTTCCCATTTAAGGTCACGGTGGATGGTGGAGTTCCTTAGGTATGTGGGTGCGTCGACTACCAGGCGGAGATAGCTGTTTTCTACAGCTTGAAGGCGTTGGCGCATCGACCCCGATGTCAGGTTGTACCAGGCCAGCCCGGAGTAGGTAAGGCGCGACCTGATGTACATTTTGTAGATACCGAGCTTCGCTCGGAGTGGCAATCTTGATGACAGCAGGGGACGCAGCTTCGTCCCCGCAAACTTTGCTCTGGTGGTGATGGCTTCAACATGGTGAGACATCGTCAGGTTTCTGTCGATGATGACACCCAGGTATTTGGATATCCTCCCCCATCAGGTTAATTTTTGGTGGCAGGTGGTTACTGCCGGTTATCAGTGCTTGGGTCTTGGCCACGTTGCATTTCAGTCTCCACTTTTTCAGCCAACACGGGAGTGCTTCCAGTGTCGGCCTCAATTTGCGGACAGCGTGGTTGGCGCTCCGAGAGCTGGACAGGAACGCTGCGTCGTCGGCGAAGAGTCCGAGTTTCGTCTCCGTCTCCGATTACAGGTATGTCGTCCGTGTAGTGGGCGTAGAGGGCTGGCGACAGGCAGCTTTCTTGTGGGACTCCTGCCAGGATGGCCCTCTCACTCTATGTGGCGTCCCCAACGGCCACGCAGAAGGTCCTTTGGGAGAGGAATAATGCCATGATTTCGACGACTCTTCGCGGCAGGGAGGTCCTCGACAGTTTGTGGATGAGGCCGTCATGCCACACCCTGTCGAATGTCCATGTCCAGCATCACGGCCGCCGTGTGTCCGCCCTTATTCAGCCATGTGGCCATTTCGTCTAGGACGCGGGTTAGCTGCAGCGTGGTGGAGTGCTCCTAACGAAAACCGAACTGCTCCTCCCTCGGGTGAATGTAAGTTTGGATCCTTCCCAGTAGTAGACGCTCGAATAGTTTCGACGTCGTCGAGAGGAGGGTGATGGGCCTGTAGTTTTCGGGCCTCCTCAGGTCCTTGCTGGGCTTAGGCAGGGCGATGACCCTGCCATTTTTTCCACGTGCTTTTTTTGTGCACGTGAACAGCTGTGTAACGGCGACTAGCGACTTGCGGGGGAGTCGTTACAGGGCTGTGTTGGGGACACCATCCTCTCCAGGTGCCTTCCTGGGGTCGGATCTGCGGATCACCGCTGCGACCTCCCTAGGGGTTATTAGTGTTACGATGTCGGGTTGGTCGCAGTGGGTGCCTCTTCTACCTGCCGTGTGTGGATTTCGTCCTGGTCTTCATGGGGCATGAACTGCCTTTCTAGGTTGTGCGCGATGAATTTCGGCGCGGTCTTGAGCTTGGCACCGGAGAAGGCCGTCGTGTCCGAACAGTGGGCCAGTGGGGGTAGGCTCTGCGGATAGTTTTTTTGCAGAGCTTGTGGATGGAAGGTTGCTCGTCCTCGATGAAGAGCAGGAAGTCCTCCCACGCGTCGCCCCTGTGTTCCCACAGTGCAGCCTTGACCTGGTTGGTGGCTTTATTGTACCGGGTTTTGGTTGTGGGGTGTCTGGTTCTCTGCCAGAGGTTTTGGCTTCGCGCTTCTCCTCAAGCATTTTCCGGATCTGGTGGGACAGTGGGTCCTGCCGTTCCGATCTCGGCCTGGTGCTTTCTGAGGCGCGCAGCGCTGCTTGTAGGGCTCTGGCGAGTTCGACTGCCGCTGCGTCGACCTCTTCGTAGTTCGTATCGTAGGCCTGGTGTTTGGCATTCAGGTCACCCGCTATGATTGTTGGTGTTGTTGGAGGTGCGGTAAGTAGTAGGTCGCGGACCTCTTGGACTCGAAGGGGTCTTGAAGGTGCCCGGTATGCGGCGTCAAGACGCATCTCACCTCCGCCTACCTGGATGTCGACGCCGAGGGCATAGAGGGTGTCGAGCCTTTTGGGTTCCACGGCTTGGTGTACTAGCGTCCTCTTCACCAGGACAGCCAGTCCACGGTATGCTTCTCCTTGCGGCGACACCTCGTCTTGACGGTACACGAAGTAGCCCGGGATATTGAGTTGGAGTTTGGCTTTGAGGTGTGTCTCACTGATAAGCATGACGTCGACAAGCTGCTCCTTGAGGAAGAGGCGTAAAAGGCCCGCCTTTCCTTTCAAGGAGTCCGCGTTCCAGTGAACTACTTTTAGGCTATCCATTGGAGGGGAGAGATTGCAGTAGTCCACTGGTGTTTATTTCGCCTGCTCTCACGCGCTGGTCCCTTTCCGGGTCTTTCTTGGTCTCCTCCTCTCCAGCCTTAGTTGTGGAGGGGACTGCGTTGGCTTCAGCCATTAGTTTGGCTAGGGCCGAGTCGTCGACGGTGTTGGGGTGTGCGATTGTATTGGGTGGGCCTGTTTTTAGGATCAGGCCCACCTTCTTGTTGCGGGCTTCGCGTTTGTAGGCGGGGCACTCAGCGCTGCTTGCAGGGTAGGGGCCTTTGCAATTTGCCCAGGTTGGTGGTTGGTCTTTGGGGCGAGGACAGGCGTGCGCCGCATGTTCGCCACCACATTGCACACAGGCTAGAGGCCCGGGGGCCTGTGAGGGGCCCGGGGGTGTTGGCTGGCAGCCCGCGAATGGCCATTTTCCAGTCGGTCTACCACCAATATTGGCTGCCACCTTGTTGTTGATAGGGGCGCGGTTTTAACTGAAGGTGTGGGTGCGTAGAGGGCTTTAGAGCCTTTGCGGGTGGCGGCGATGCTAGTACTGCTGCTGCTGTCCTTGGTGCTGGCGTCGGTAAGAGAGGCGTAGTGGCAGTGGGTCCTCTCGGGACGCACTGCGGCATCCGGGTAGTGGTACCGCAGGAGGAAGAGGATTCCTCCAAATTATGTATTTACTTGCCAAAAAATTTACGTTTTAACTATTTTTTATATTTAGAACATAATAAGTAAAAAGGTGAAATTAAAAACTGACCGGTTGTTAGGAACATTAAGTTTTAAAACTTTTACTTTAATTTCGATTTGATAAACAAAAACGACAGTCGGTTTAAAGAACTTCAAAACAAATGGAAGTATGTGTAATATTGTAAGCAATTTCCCAGAACGCTAATTATATGTAGCTAAGCTATAAGAATCTAGTGTTTATTTAATAGTAATAGTAATCTTTATTGTGGATCATAGGTAGGATCATTATACAGATGTTTTCATTATTTAGTCCAGCTATGTGCCGCCGATACGATATTCCCAATCGGCCTGACATAGCTGGCCTTGTAAGACCAATTTGTTGCAATAATTAATATATATGTACATACACATTATTTTAATAGTTTAATGTTTGTACCTATATTTTGTTGTGGTCGAAACAATCCACACGGTGACATTTCAAGTAATACTGGTCTATTGCTAAAGCTACTCTATTAATAAATCCTTGCCTGTTCAAGAATTAAATGCTTATTCCTCCGTTAGTCGAATCTCGCAGTTTTAAACGTGTTTATATTCGAGAAAAGGCAGGTGGTGACCTTGATAAAAACAATCTTTGAAGCGGTTTGTATATCAAATTTGAGCTCAATCGGTGCAGCACTTTTTAACAGGCTTTTGTTAGCTTGGCATGTACATATGTATGTATGGATGGACATTTGATACCTATGTTGAGGGAGTTGAACAAAAAAATGTAATCCGCCACTTTGTGGTGGCGACCATCTTGGGCTTACAATGAAATATATTATCAAAATGAAGCCCAAAATCGGCGTGTAATGGGAGAGGCCTATGTCCAGCAGTGGATTGCGATAGGCTGATAATGATATATTATTGTATTGTCATCAGAACTAAAGGTGCGCACCAAATTTTGGATAAATCGGTAAAGAGGAAGGGGGTAAAGGGGCGGGTCAAGGTAAAAAACACAGCCGTTTAACAAAACAGCCGACATGTACTAGCTTGTATGATGCAAGTCTCTGTTGCATTCCACTAATCATCGCTTGAGAGGAACTTGGTCATGTAAATCTGTTACGGGCTCATGGACTATGATATTAACACCTTAATTGACAGACCTACTTACTTATATTTTGCTTTTTTTACATTTAGAACTTAATAAGTAAAAAAACTGATGAGACTGATATCTGCTTAAACATGGATAAACGTACTGCAAGTATGTAGGGGGTTTCGAGCGGGGTTTCTTAAAATACGAAAACTAAAAAAACGTTGATTGAAATATTGTTTCTGATATTGGAGTATATATTTCAAAACAAAAAACACCTTAGAACTAAGTGAAATGTACAGAAGTTGCTTTTAATTTAAAATAATGATTAGAATAAAATCAGTACAATAAAATAAAAACACAATATACACACTAGGAAAAAAATTATAAGAATAAAATCCAAAACGAATAATTAAATACTAACAATAAAGTTTTAAACAGTCATCAGTCTTGTGGTAACTAAGATTACTTAATGTTAGAAACTTTCTCAATTGTGAAACTTAAGACGGTTCATAGCAGAGCTTCTGTTGGCAAGCTGTTATTGATCGTACCTGTAACACACAAATTGTAACTATTCATATTCCTACAAATTGTTTAAACATTTGTATTTTTAATTTATATTGTACATTAGTTGTTATAGCACAGTTTTGCCTATTATAAGTTCTTTCGATGGTTCTTTTCCTTTTTTGCAAGTGTGAGACGTTCTGCTCTGATCGACGGTACGGTAACGAGCCTAATATTTGTTATAAACTAAGAACTATTTTATTCGACTTACCCGAATAGCTTTCATCCTCGATTGTAAGTTGGCTCAGACCAGATCAAACTCAACATGTAATTTTTATGCTCTGGAGCTTTAAACAAACGTCAAGATATTAATATAATTTAAATACTGATATTTAACTCATATTAATATTTTGACGTTTGTTGGCGTAGAGTGAGTGTTGAAACACGTTACACCAAATATCTGAATATAATGTTGTTTATATTCAGATATTTTATATACAGCGTTGCCTGTAATGGCTATTAATCTGAGGTTTCGCAGTGGTCACCTTCTGCTTCTGCTTCGTGTTGAAACGGAGTCACCTCCTTAGTTAGTTTTTGTACTGTAATTAACAAGTAACAATTAATTAATTATTTCTACCAAATCCATGTATCTGTTATTGGAGAAAATGATATAAAACACAATCAATATTTACTTTGCCACTCTAACTTCGCGTTCTGCCTCTTGATTATTCTGTCCTCTTCTGATTTTTCTGTCCTCTCCTTTATAAAACTCAAAGTTTTCTCCAACAGCTCTGCCTGTGCGATGTAGATTTAAAAAGGAAAGATGGTGAACTGCCAATTTTTCCTACAGTTAAAGCATTATTGAGTTTAAAGAAAATAAAGCTACTTACGTTAGAGTCAACGGAGAGGACAGCAGCTAACTCGGTGTAGGCATTTGCAACGTCATTCCGTCGCTCCTGCTCGTAGAGAGCGTTGCGGGCTCGACGTTCCTCCTGCAAACAGGAAACTCAATTAGATAAAAGTTATAAACACATTCTGCACGTGGAATCAATGTTACTATACACAATATTTACTAACAATTGTAAGCGGCACCCGGTTCTTGCCCACAAGTCGACCACGACGTCTATCACTAGGTCCTGAAGCCGATCTAGTGGGCTGCTCCGATTTCTGAAATAATGACAGAGCATAAGTACAAAAAAACGCATTATTGATTGTCTTCACCTGTTTTTAGGAGTAGTCTCAGATATGTCGAACTATTTTCGTTTTATAGACAAAACAAAAAGACATTAAATATAATAGTCACTGAAAACTTTAAACCGCTACAGAACGTTATCTTAAATTGCTAAATTCATGTGTTTAAATTAAATTATCTGAATAGATATTTTACAAAGTATAACTTAGCTAATCAAATACTTCAATAGGTCAGTAAATGATTGTCGTCGATAAACGCTCATAAATAAATCATAACCGATCAAAAATCAAGTAAAAAGTTCAGTACCTTTTTTGATTTTGTCTTTACCATGTTGCTTGGTCGATGTTTTATGGGTATCACTAACTTGTGTTACTTCACTGGTTGGAAAGTCAACTAATAGTGAAATAAACCAATCAATCAATGGTTTTCATCTCACCCCTCCTTGTTGTGGGGTGGGGAAACTATTTGGAGCTCTGGGCTCCTTATAGTGGTGTTCTTCGCGACTCACCACTGTGAGTCGGTCGTTGGGGTTGAGTCCACCGGTCACGAGGCCGCTCTTCCGGGGTTCCCTAAGAAGAGGGGCCCGGTTAGCCGCCTGCGAGTGGCCGGTGGTTCGTGTTCTGAATTTGGTGCCCCGCTCAGGGAGGTTGAGATAAGCTCCCGAGCAGGGCGTTTCAGTCGCCTACGGATGGCGAGTGTTGTCTCCGGATGGAGGAGGGGAGCAATGCCTGCCAAGTGGGGGAATTTTGAGCGGTCGGCCCGCTCAAACATCCCAGTGGCAAGCCTGCTCACGAATGTCTCTATGGGTTCCCATTTAAGGTCACGATGGATGGTGGAGTTCCTTAGGTACCTGGGTGCGTCGACTACCAGGCGGAGACAGCTGTTTTCTACAGCTTGGAAGCGTTGGCGCATCGACCCCGATGTCAGGTTGTACCAGGCCGGCCCGTCTAGGTAAGGCGCGACCTGATGTACATTTTGTAGATACCGAGCTTCGCTCGGAGTGGCAATCTTGATGACAGCAGGGGACGCAGCTTCGTCCCCGCAAACTTTGCTCTGGTGGTGATGGCTTTCACATGGTGAGACATCGTCAGGTTTCTGTCGATGATGACACCCAGGTATTTGATCTTTGGGGACCAAGGGATATCCTCCCCCATCAAGTTAATTTTTGGTGGCAGGTGGTTACTGCCGGTTATCAGTGCTTGGGTCTTGGCCACGTTGCATTTCAGTCTCCACTTTTTCAGCCAACACGGGAGTGCTTCCAGTGTCGGCCTCAATTTGCGGACAGCGTGGTTGGCGCTCCGAGAGCTGGACAGGAACGCTACGTCGTCAGGCTTTTGTTAGCTTGGTATGTACATATGTATGTATGGATGTACCGAACGGAATCTTCGAACGTGATTTTGACCCACTTCAAAACTTTCGAATGAAACTTCGTACACTTATCAAGGACCGATGACAATACAATAATTTGATAAATTCGGCCGATTGTTCTGACCAGGATCGTCAAGATGGACGGTTTTTCTCGTACTTAAAAATACGGAAGTTTCTTTTGCTACGTACGAGTGCTGAAACATATGTGACTTACTTACCTGTTCCTTTTTTAGTGTTAATGAGAAAATAATTATTATTAATGACTAAAAAAGCAAATGTGAGAAAAAAACTAAAAAAAATACGCTTTTGTAATTAACCGAATTAAAAATTAAAAAATAATTTTCTATAAGTTCAAAAATCAAAATCAAATCATGTTATCGTATAAACAATAGAACAATCAAATGACTATAATATAATACACAATTCAGCTGATCGCTGTAACACTACGCACGAAAAAATTTATGTCATTTCAACTCAACAGGGTGTATCACTGTGGTAAGACCATGGGCCTTCAATTATCTTATCGCGTTCAAACAGAGAGGCAGACGCTGCAGGGGAATTTGTTCCATAAAATGTAGTGGTAGTGATTAGATAGTGATAATGTACCATCTTTTACTAGTCAAGACATTTGATACCTATGTTGAGGGAGTTGAACAAAAAAATGTAATCCGCCACTTTGTGGTGGCAGCCATCTTGGGCTTACAATGAAATATATTATCAAAATGAAGCCCAAAATCGGCGTGTAATGGGAGAGGCCTATGTCCAGCAGTGGATTGCGATAGGCTGATAATGATATATTATTGTAAAGTCATCAGAACTAAAGCTATGCACCAAATTTTGGATAAATCGGTCAAGAGGAAGGGGTTAAAAAAAATATTACTTAATTTGACCCAAACAGGTCAAAGTAAAAAACAAAGCCGTTTAACAAAACAGCTGACATGTACTAGGTTGTATGATACAAGTCCCTGTTGCATTCCACTAATCATCGCTTGAGAGGAACTTGGTCATGTAAATCTGTTACTGGCTCATGGAATATGATATTAACACCTTAATTGACAGACCTACTTACTTATATTTTGTTTTTTTTTGCCCTAGTTATTTATGCACTTGGTTTTGTACCTGCGTACGCCCATCGAAAGTGGGAGAAGGTACGGCGCCCAAGCGCTTTCATTGGCTGTCCTTTGTCTACACCCAGGTAGCCGACCCAAGAATTTTTTGTTTCAAATGATAATGATATTTTCTTAAAAAAAAACACAGATCGCCTGGTGGTTGATGTTTGGTTTAAATTCATAATATTTTTAATGGTTTGTTTTATTTATTGCTATATTTTTCATTCCCAGTTT